CATAATGATTACTGGATGTATATTAAATATAACGTTCAAAAGCCGATTGATTCACTTACATATATTTTAAGTTAGTAGCGAATATAATTGTTCTATATAGATCGATTTCAAGTATTAGTCGAGACAATTGGATTTCTTTACTCCTGGAATATCCGAATGTCGACCATCTGCAGCAGGTACCGAAGTAGTATATATGTACGTACAAACAGCTATTATTATATGAACTGTGAACTGTAAGTAAGTGTAATCCATTACTACGTTTAAATAATAAGTTTAATTTATTCAATAAGTATCTAATAATCTAATTTATTAATTACATTAATTACTGAACAATTATATTGAATTTTATTTTTTCAAAAAATAATGGTTGTTAGGTCCTATGGATCAATACTATAATAAGTTCCGTACCTATACTCTATTATATTATTTTAAATCTTTCTTATGTTCGATTTATATTATACTGATTAAAATCGAAAAATTCTCATTAATGTTCTTAAGCTATGTTATACATAGGCACGTCATGTTGGGTATTTTTATATGCATACAACACTATATCTCCTCTCCAAACGTGTTAACGCAGACATTCTAGCTTGTTTGTTTTGATTAAAATATAAATAATAAATAATGCACATTTTAATTTAAAAAAATAAATAAATAATAGTATACTCTTGAGTATTATCCATACTTATAGTTATAATTGTATAACGACTTAAAATTGATAAGACAGTGTATGGTGAATATTAAATTTAATAAAATTATGAATTCAAATTGCATTAGTAATTAAATTTGGATAATTGACTTTGAATAAGATGAGTGAAGTGTTATTCATTGTTATGTCATCCACTAGAAATATATAAATATACATGATACATGTTATTTATGTATTGATAATAATAGACAATTCAGTTTTTGTGTAATTTAATTGGAAAGTTATAGCACTTTATAGCTAAATGTAAGGTTGTACAAAAGTTTTTCTCTCATTTAAACAAGTTATATTAGTATTTAGTATTGACACAAACAAAAAAAAATATCCCATTATCCCACCACTGATTGATTGATAAAGAAATACAATTTTTTTAAAACCAAAATAATTTGGATATTTTCAAATGATTTTCCTTAAAAGTTATTTTCTGGTTTTGTTAAACAAAATCACAATATTTCAAACTGATTTAATTATTGAATAATTCAAATTTACTTGATCGTGTACCTAAAAAAAATTAAATTTTGACCCATTTTAATGTAAATACAATTTACCTAACTTAGCTATCGTCGATTTACACATAATAATAATATATACCCAAAACCAAAAGAGTATTAGTATTCCTACTTTTGTTACTCTTATCCATTATTGTTTATAGTATATATAACATGAATACATTTTCAATAGACTGCGTGAAATACACACTTGTTATAGATAAAAAAGTTAAAATAATGGAGATACTGAAAACCAGATTGTCAGACAGAACTACAATTGTAATAATTCAATGATATGAATACGGAAAAAATCTGTTTTAGTTGAATAAAAAATAATTATAATGTTATGTAATATGTCAGAATTTAATGAACTTAAACGTGAGCCTAACTATTCCAGATTTTCAGTCAATGCTGTATTGTATTATATAGAATTAAAAACATCACACGGCTATTAGATTGTTTGATAATAAACGTTTCGAAATACAAACTTTATAACACACTGTTTTTATAATTTGTTAACTTAATTCACTCTTTTCGTATAAACCGTGGTATTGAAAAAATAAAGGTGATCATTTTACAGTCAAGGTAATAATCTTTTAATGGAAAAAATGTATTTATCGTCTATAAGACTATAAATTTAGCTTTTTTTGGTCCTTTCTTTCGTGAAACTGTATTTCAACGGTATAATTTAGCTATTACACAACAACTAACTGTTATGCTGAAATGGCACTCGTACAATTATTGGATCACCAAAGTCTTGTTAGTCACTATATAACACTGGATTGCATAAACAATCATTAAAAATTTGAAGAATCAGTTGCGAGCTTATGATCCCTTAAACATGATGTAGCAGTCCACGATTGGTCCATTCAATTTTACGGAGCCATTAAATAAATTCTGCATAAGTATATTTCAGTTTTTCTTAAACTGTCGTTAATATTGCCTATACCAGACCCCCTTACATATCTGGCGTTTAACTACAAAAAAAACGATCAGAAAGCTAACGTCGACGTGTTGGAGCGGAAGTGATACGAGAACATTTTGGTTTTACACGACGATGATGACGATGATGTTTTATTTTCACCGTTTTAAGTAAATACATTCTCTGCTCAGAATAATGACGTGTATTCTATTTACAGGTTTAAAGTCCATATTTATCGTACCTTGTATTTTTTAATTTTTTTTTTTTTATCGTCTCTGCATTGTTTCTGCGAACTTTGATCAAAATCGTTCGAACACTTCAAACGTTTACTTAGACGAAAAGATTGTTTTCGTTTCTCGTAACACTAAATTTTTATCAGCGCCGCTGTCGGCGAATGTACATTGTACGTGCAGTATTATAATTATGTCAGGTTTTTTCCCCACTTTCCAGGTGACCGTAGATATTCTTGAATAGTTTATTATCATTTTTGGGATTTTAGCGAAAATTAGAAATGTTCCTACTAGTTTTAATATCATGTTTTGTTCTGAATGTCTGATTAGTGATTACCTATTGCTTTTTTAGTGCATGTTTTCGTGTAATGTATAGTAACACTGAAAATAATGAGAAATGCTCCAATTTTCATAAAATCAATATTAGTTTTCACTTTTAATTTTAATTTAAAAATCAACTTGAAAACACTTCCAATTATTTATTAAAAAAAAAAAATATATATATATGAACAGATAGAAATTATTGGTTACATAGTACACTATATAATGTGGCCTGGTGTTATATGCTTACTTATGAACTTTTGACTACGCACACTTGTATTAATACAATAATAATTATATTAAAATTATATGTGTATTATGAAGTTTATGTACTATAAGTGTGTAATAAAAAAAAATGATATGTCAAAGTAATATATGGTTTTACCAATATATATTATTATTTATAAATTATATTTAAAAAAAAAAATTCAGATTTTTTAACCTTTTCATTTTAGATTCTAAACGAAGTGATGAATGCATTGATTTTATCAATATGTTTTTTTGTGTATGAGTACACGATAATTTTTTGATAAAATACTTTGATATTAAAAAGTTAGCGTGGTTTTGGATGTAAAATTGGATCTAGTTTGTAATTTAGAGATGTCAAAATTAATCATTTTTAAGCCATTAACATCCATAAGAAATGTTCGATTTTTTTATAAAATATGTCGATTAAAAATTATTTATTTAGTAGAAATACTTAAAACTTTAATAAAAAGCTTCTCATAAGTTGATAATTTCTCAATAAAAAAAATACTGAAAATCTATGATCACAACATTTTTTTATAAATATTTATGACACTTCATATTCATCTGTAAAATAATTATTTCTCCTCAAATAATTTTTGATATTTTATTGTATCTCACAAAAAAAAAAAAAAAATAAAATAAATATTAATGGATATACTAAACATTTTCATTAAGTGTTTATAATAATATTATTTTTATGATACCATATTATTTTCAAATGTTTTTAATTCATTTTGAGTTATTTATAAACAAAAGAAATTTTTGATATTTTTTTTATAAATGTTGAATAAACATTATTTACAGAGTAGAAATGTTTGAAAACTTTATACGAAATCTCACAAAAGATATTCTTTTATCTGTATGAAAATATTAAAAATACATCGATATACATTTTTTTATATGCATTTGATGTAAGAATTTTGACGAAAGTCGTCAAAATCGCAAAAATATATAAATTATTTTGTAGTTAAAAATTCATAAAAACTTTTCTTTGTATATCTAAGTTTTAAAGATTTAATAAAATATTCTTTTTAAGTATCAACATTTTGGCGAACCATAAATTCTAAAATATATATAAAGACAATTATTTTTTACTAACATTCTAAGTTCCAAAGAAATTACTTATTGAAACCATAATTGACGATATATTAATTATTTTATTATAATTTAAAAACATACATTAGAATTTTTAAATTTTACTATCCGCAATAACATTTTTTAATGTATTTTAAATTATTATTTTTATTTAAAGGTACTATGAATCTATTTTTACCATTTTATGATATTTACAGAAAGATTTTATAACATTTTGAGTAAATATGTGTATAGTACTCACTTACCTACCCTTTTTTTTTTTTTATCGAAACACAAACACAGCGAATACCTTCTATCTATACTCGAGCACAATAAAATTTAGCAACTGCTCATTTTACATTTACGTATTATGCAAATAATATTATATGAACTCCTCGAAAGTATGACAAATAATAATATGCATATATAAATTATACGAACACAAATATACATATGTAATATCAAATAAATTAAATAAGGTTATTACCAATGTTTACATATTATGATTCACCGTTAATTTATAGAAAATTTTGATCGTTGGGATTGTATACATCTGGCGAATCGTAAAACAAACATTATACGTACTTACCTATTATTATAAGTTCCTATTATTATCGATAAAATGTCAAGGGGGTGAGGGGAGGTGCTGGGATTTCATCAGGGGGACTTAGCCTCCCGCCGAAAGTCCAAATCACAGCGCTACAATGCGCATCTATTTACTAAGTAAAATACGTTGACCCGTAGTGGTGGTGGTGGTGGTGATGGTGATGTGGTGATATGATAGCGACTTAGGTATAGCCCCGGAGAGAAACACGCGCGCATTTCACCGTATAGGTATATAATATTATACACTTTCTCGCGCGTCCTTCCTCTCCGGACATCGCCGCTGCTGCCGCCGCCGCCACCACCACCGCCACTTCCATCGTCGCCGCCGCCGCCGCCACCGCCACTGCCGCCGCCGCTGTCGTCGTCGTCGTCGTCGTCGTCGTCATCGCCGTTGCCGTTGCCGACGTCGCCGTCAGTGTCCGATTTACTTCCGGCCGACCCGACGGGCCACTGCGCAGCACACACACACATACACACACACACACACACACTCACGCACACGCACACACTAGTGCATACACACACACACACGCACCTACGCTGCACACGCGGACGGGCGCGCACAGAATCGCGCGAAGAAATCGCGTTCGACGACGTACCATTACACTATTGAGTCGGCAGTTCACGAACCCAGTAGCTTCTCTAAATGCGACCGCGAGAGACACACATAAAAACCTGGAGATTCCGACTCTGATCGTCCGCGAACACAACGAATCGTAATAATAATACAAATTAAACATTTTTTTTTTTCTGCCGTTGTTGTTGTCGGTTTTTTTCGGATCGTACTTCACATAATATTATCATAATATACTAACACGCCGTGTTCACCTGCCGAGTCGGTCGCACGCCGCCACCCCTTCGCGCCGCTGAAGAACCGCGATTTTCTCCGCTACCGAGTGTCGCCGGTGCTCGTTTATTTTTTTTCTCGAGATTTTACGGTTTTTTTTTTATATATTTTTTTAGTTTTCTCTGCTCTCCTTAATATATTACGTCGTTATTGGACGAAGTTCACCGACGATTGAATCTCGTCTTTTTTGCTGAAAACCAATCACCGCCTCAGTGCGTCCCCCAGGTACGTACACGCGTAATCGTTACGTCTCGTCGACGGTTAGCGTATATTATAAATTAGACAGTTATCATTATATTTATTATTATAATATTTTCTACATTTTATGCATTATTACCATTTATATTTTTTTTTTTACCCGCATCTTTTATGCAACATAATTTTAAATATTTTTTTTTCTTTTTTCGCGATTTCGGTTTTCCTCAAATCATTATCGGTACTATTCAGCTTGAGGAAAACCGTACCTGCTTAAGCATACCCGCGGCCGGTAGAACAAAGGTCTGTAGATTTTATTTTATGGTAGATGCCTCTGTATTAATACAATATATTAGGTAGGTATATCATAAAACAGTCTATGAGCAGAGATTAGAAAAGGATTACGGGGGTTAATCTTCTTCAAATAATTCCTAAAACCCTTGACCAACTGCAAAATAATTACATGTTTGATAATTATTATTATGTTATTGTAGCGTAATAGGTGTTAATATTGAAATGATTTTAATTAAATAATCAAATTTAATTATATTTTCGGGATTAATAGTTATTCTTTAAGATTATAGTATTTTACTCGATAAAAATTAAAAAGTTCAACACATTTTTGCTATAGTGATATTATATTTGATTATTATTAACTGTTTAAACTAGGATCTTGTATTGGAAAGTGTATTATGATACCTATGTGCATTTGTTTGTTTATTTAAATTGAAACATTTAATATATATATATATAATATAATTCTTCTTAAGTTGTGTTTAAATCTCAGTCTATGGGAAAGGTGGTTTTAGATAGCGAGGTATGGATGGTGACTGAAAACCGCTGCGGTTGCTGTTGTTAGCGATTTCTAATCTATCCATTATTAGGTAGGTTAAGTTAAGTATTGCAATTCGCGGTGTATCTGACAATAGTCGAAGTGTATGTTACTAATAATAGTAAATTAATAGTATTCGATTGTTAGAGAGCGGCGGTAAGGTTATTATGATTTTTGATGATCAATCGTGACACTAGACAAATGTTGTGCTTGTCATTGTTTTCGATCTAGTTTTGTGTCCGTCAAGACGCGTGTTCGAAAACGACAAAAATGTTTATAGATCGTAATTTGGTTAGGTTTTAATTTCTTGTTCCCTCTTATCATTATAATATTATAATACATTGTATGTACATTTCGTATTATATTATAATATACAAAGGTACCTGAAAACTTTTATCGATAGCATTCCAAAAACTGTTTAATCAATCGGAGATCATTAAGTCGCGTGTATGAGAATATTGAAAAGTAAATGCGAACTTGAAATGACGACCGAACAGACTATTGAATATTATGTATATATTCGTATTCTCATTTATTAAATACAGACCCGTCCTTATATTTGATTGGTGGTTAATCAATGTCGATAGATGGAAGTTTAGCGTTAAAGACTTTCCGGAAACCTATCAAAGTACACGTTTCAGAACAATAAATAAATAAATTATAACAACTAGAAATATCACTGAAATAATTTGCGATAAACGTCGATTTACTTATTAATTAATATTATTAGTAATACTATTTAAACAATACTTTACGATATTAAAAATAGTTTTTTTTTTTTTTTTTTTAAAAAAAGGATGTCTATATTGTACTTTTAAAATCTCATTTAATCGAAAGCGTAAAAAATAATCTACACGACTAACACAGGTGCGGATCCAGAAGTTGGGCCGGGTAGGCCTGGGCCCACCCAAAATTTTCAAAAACAATAATTTTAATTTTGAATATTGGCATTTGAGTTGTTATTCTAAAATTTGTTCACGTAATTGTATTTCAATATTTTTTTATTATTTTTTTTTTTTTTACTATTATCAGTACTGGACTATTTATTGAAATATTTATAACTATATGAAAATCATTCTTAATTAAATCATAATTTTACTGTATTATCTTTTATGGTTAAATTTACGGGCCCATCCAAAAAAATATTCCTGGATCCGCGCCTAGACCAACACAATAAATATGACAATATTATGGTTATTTTAATTTTTATTGATAAGGCACTTCTATTTTTTGTTCCAATACGATTAAGTAATAAAAAATTTAAACATAATAACATGTGTCACCAAAGTAATTCGACTAGGTATGTTCTTTTGATTATGCTATGTGTCACATTCAAAAACTCGTTTTTCGTGTAGAGAGACTGATTAAACAAGATTGAATGAAAGTTTACTTTTGTTTTATACCTAGGATTTAAACAACGTAATTGATTTATTATTTTGTGGAAATAGGTTTCTTTTCATTAAAAAAAAAAAAAAATGTTTTAAATTATAACAATTAATAAAAGAACACGCGCGGAAGTAAAGACGATTTCTATAAAATGAATTTATTGCCCTTATTGCATCTTCAACGTTCTCCGTCACCACAGGTTTCCTTCAATTTGTCAATCGCTTCTTACGTTTTTTTCCCTTCCTAAGTATACCAAAAATATATTAACACGTTCTTCTTTCTGGTGTCTGTTCGTCTCTTGAAACGAACAACTATATAGCGTTTACTTATGTGCACAAGTATCTCGATGTCGACAGGACTGTCGTCGTAAAACTGACGGAACATCAAAATTTCATGTTTGTTTTGACCTTCAGCTTAAAATTCAAACACATGTAATAACTATACATTTTATTATAATATAATAATATAGTAGTTATTATGGCTGAGAATATAGTTCTCAAAAAATTTGAAATTATGCGTGCACCCGTAAAATGCACTTATATTATTTTTAATTTAAATAAGTTTTAAACCAAAATGTTTATTAATAATAATTAAATTAAAAAAAAAAAGTTTTGCAGGACTGCTCGATTTTAAGTTTTTTACACGGATCTTAATCTAAAAAAAAATAATTATTCTTATTTAACTCGCTATTTCCACTCGTGTAATCTCGATTTTTACGACGTAGTACAGATCAGTTTGAAAAATTATGATTGGTATAAACTTTATTAGCTAATTAGAAAATTATTAAAATTTTCTTTAATTAATATAAATAAACTTAAAATAAAAAAAAAAAAAAAAATGAAATCTTCTTCGAGTACATAATATGAAACGTACGTCATTACTCATCACGTATGTATAATGTACGAGTATAACATACCGACATATCGTTATGAACATAACGCAGTTGTTATGCTTTGAAAAACGCAAAGTGCATCGAAATTCTATCCCTAATAATAATAATAACAATAGGCGTGTATTGGCAATTTGCGACGGACTGCTATCGCAGAAATTTATTTTGCTAATTATTGTCCACCGATTTAATGGTTTTAGATTTAATACGGCGATTTCAGTCTCGTATACGCGACACGACGATTCGATGACCGTTATAATAATATCATTATACCTTAACAATGTAGGTGTACAATTTTTTTTCGCTATAATTCGACTGTGAGCACTATTGCGCAGTGGAGTATTCGGAAATAGGGTAAGTAGGTACTAAAAAATATATGATTTATTTACGGTCGGTCAATTACTGTATCAACTGGCGCGTACTATGAGAAATCAGAACGGGCGAATCTGCAGTAGTAGGTATCTATAATATTATATAGGTATATGATATTATATTCGTACTGAATTTAGTAAAATGAAAAAAAAAAAAAATGTTATTGGTACTGATCAAAATATCGTATTTTCGCACGCCGCTGTCAAAACAGACGTCTGTGTAGAAAATTGGTTTTCGTTTATATATATAACATAATATATACGTAGATAGGTATGCGCAGGCAGTCAAAGAGATTATTTTATTAGATATTTTATACAGTGTCATTGCCGAGCAATTTGTCGTAGCCGAAATATTACGAATTATTTTTTTAACATTCACGCGTTACGGTTAGCACTTGTAGTCAGTAGTACGGCATGTACTCGTATATACTGTAATGGGATATTTTTATCGAACAAACATCATTCATTCCATTCTACTGCAGCGCGTTTCCCCTGCGCACCCTCTCACGTCAATTACATTTGTTGGATTAGACTCAATTCGTACGATCCTTAACAACCACCCCCATAACGGCCATTTCCAATGGAACTACATGTATAATGTATATACAATATATACATAGAATAAAGCCTATGTGTAGGTATGTATGTATTATTATATTTTCTGAGAACTATTTCCGAACATAATCGAATAAACGAACGACGGAAATACTGCTTCGAAGTCCCCGCCAATGCAACGCAATAAAAAATATTATAAACGTATTTATATATAATAGTGGTTTTATTATTTACTGAATGATCCATTTAAGTGTAGTAAAATTCATTTGTTCGAACATTTTTTTAACTATTTTGAAACGTTTTTATTATTTTACTAAATCATTATATGTCATTATCGTGTATCCTATAGTGGTATAAGAATAGGTATATTTTATAGTTAAATTTCAGTACATACAGCTCTGCTCATGAATACTTTAAACACTTAAGTACTATAAGTTCTGACTATTCGTTTAAAATTTTATTTTTATAAATCAAAGTAATCCGTAAAATATTATACATCGGAATATAAAATTATATCAATAACAAATTGTTAAAAAAAAAAACACTTTTTTAAAATAAAAATTTCAGATTGCCATGACATAAAATAATCAATAAACATTTAGTTTTATTTTCAGAAAAATTAAAACGTCTTGAAATAATGAGTATAGGCACTTCAAATAATCACCTTATACCTATATAATATAACGTTTTCACTTGGTTAAACGTTTTGTTTCAGAAAACAATTACATAATGGATGTTTTGAAAACATTTAATAATGATAATATTAACAAGAGGTTTATTTCAAAATTTTGAAAATTCGCCAAAATAATATTTTACACAGACACACATACCAATGTATACCATAGTTGCGGTGTTCACAGGTTTCAGCAGGCTGCGTGTAATATGTTATCGGGGAGAGTTTTAAAATTCTATATGCTATATTATTGTCGTTTTTTATTAAAAAAAAAAAAATGGTCAGATTTTAATAATTTTTTTTTTATTAATATAATAATATTTT